AGAAGAAGAAGAAGAAGAAGAAGAAGAAGAAGAAGAAGAAGAAGAAGGAAGAAGACAGTAAGATGGTCCTGGTGGTGTCGCACTTGCCTGGTGTGTGTGAGGGTCAATGCTCAGCACCACAAAATAAAAAGAAGAGAAGAATAATTTGAATGATCCAGGCACACACCCAACACAGTGAGTCTGTTTGCATAGGACTATTCACTTCATGAAGATCTTAAAAAAATAATATTTTAATTAATCCTTTGTGAAGTTCAAGCAGTGTATTTGGTTCACATTCAACCCTGTTCTCCCTAACTCCTCCCTGGCCCTCCCTCCGTTTTCCTGTCTACCCACCTTGATGTGTTTGTTTGTTTTAAGTTCATCAAGTCAAATTTGTGTTGCTCAACTTCTCCTGGGTGTAAGGTCCACCCCTGGAGTGTCATCAGCCCACCAGAGGTCACCCCCTTAAATAGAACTCCGCCTCTTCCAACAGCCATCAGTAGCTGTTGGTCAGTAGCTCCTCGGCCAGGGGTGGGATTTAGCACTGCCCCTCCCATCTTCTGGCTGGGATCTGGCCTGGCTTGAGCTCGCACTCATCTTGGGCATGCCATCACAACCACTTCGAGTTCCTAAGTGCCCGGCTATGAACAGAAAACTACTGCCTTGCAGTCACCCACCCCGGCTGTCTCTGACCATCTCTTGTCCCCTCTTCTGCAATGATCTCGGAGACTTGGGGGTTGTGTGCGTGATACAGATGTTCCATCTGAAGCTGATGATTCTTTTATATATAATCTTCTTATTAAATCCTTGCGAATTTTCATATATGTATTGACACCCCCCCCCCCAGTTCACAAACAGCCCCTCCTGGATTTACTGACACTTCCTCACCCCCAACTTCATGCACCCCTTTTAAAATAACCCACCAAGTCCAATTTGTGCTACCCATATGCTGAGGGCCAGTCACCACAGAATGCTCAACTTAAACCTCCCCTTACAGGAAACTGGCTCTCCCTCCCTGAGAAGCCATTAACTGTCTACAGGTCAGTCAGGTGTAGGGCTCATGAGCTCACGGGGCCCTCCTCCATGCTGGAATGCCGAGGGGCTTGATCCTGCTCAGGTCTGCTGCAGGCAGCCCTGGCTGCTCTGAGTTCACGCAGTGGTCCTGCCATGTCAGAAGGCACCGTTTCATTTCGGTCCTCCCCAGCTTCTCCCCCTCCTCCACTTCAACCACGGTTCCTGAAACTTTGTGGGGTTGGGGTTCCGTCTGTGGCTGAGCGATCCCCAGATATTTAGTCTCTGCATTTTGACCAGTTGTGAGTTTCTGTGTTAAACACCAGCTACGGAATAAGAAAACTCCTATGAGGCATGACAGGTGCAGTGATGTATAGGTTCAGAGATATGAAGAATCCTAAAGACCAAAAAGATGTCATCCTCAGAGGGAGGGCTATCCTCTCTCACAAGTTGGTCTCCAGTGGTCTGTGTGTCTGATCCACGTGTGGAGTTAACAGGAGCCACAGGCTGTCTGTGGTACGTCACTGGTACCACCAAGCGAGTCACCTTGTGGGTCTCCTGTGTATGGAGCCTGTGGCACATCTTACCTAACCAGAGAAGGGAGTCAGATTTGCCACTTCTGACTTTTGATTTGTCCCTCCTTCTCTTTCTTTGTTTCACAAACCAAATGGCTTGATATTAAGCACTTAGTGATTTTTGTGTGTTTTCTGAAGGAACTCTCAAACAGAAAGTTACACTTGGTGTCTCTACTTCCCATTTGTGTCACTCCCCAATCTGACAGGCCTCTCAGTTGGAAAGTAACCGGCTTTGTGGTAGCTTTGCCTCTGCAGGGCCTGGAGCTCTCGCTGTGTCAGATGCCTCCTCTAAGGGGGCTTTGTGTGCTGGTGGAAAAACAAAACAAAACAAAACAAACAAAAAAACCCCAACAAAACAGCCCTGCAGAAAACCTCTGCCATGTATAATTCAGTATGAAGACCTGGGGCACAGGAGCCGAGTCACGTGACACTCCAGGTCCACACCTAACGGCATCATGTGACAGTCAAAGGAAAGGACAGACAGCATCAGCCCCCATGCTCCCTGAGTCAGTATCTCCCTGTCCTGGTCTCACTGCTCCAACTGAGAAGGCAAGGCAGAGACCAGAGACCTGTGGCTTTCCATTGCCTTACAGAGTAATGCCAGGGTTGTGCTTTCCTGAAGATCACACAGGAGGCAGAAGGAAAGAAACTGCTGTGCAGAGGTCTGCCTGGAATCAAGGGTGCTATTTAAAAGCAGTGGGAGTAAGTCTTTCACGGGCTTGATCAACAAGAAAAAGGGACACATGACTGGCTGGAAAAGCCTCTGGGGGCTCCTTGGCCTCCTTTAAGACCACGAGGAAGAGGGAAAAGGCAGTCCAAGGGAGCAGCAGGTCCTCCCAGGCTCCTGTTAGGCTCCTGAGACTTCTTCTCTGTATTTTGGCCTCAGAAGGGAGAAAGTCACTGCCCACAGTTTTACCACCTTGTCTGGCAATGCAGGGGATTTTGAAGACTATTTAACTGTATAAACAATGTTACAAACCAAAGGACATCAACCCTCCCACTAAAACACTTTGTGGGAGGTTTCAGGCAAAAAAAGACTTTTAAAATGACAGTAGTTGTCTTTTATCTTAGGCAGTAAAAAAAAAAAAAAAAAAAGCTACTGAAAACTTGTGTTTGAACTAAGCACATCCAAACTGAGTCCTTAAAATGCACCAGGCAACCTGTATATTGGTTTACGCATTTAATTTTATTTGTTCCCCTGTTTAATCTTCAGAAGCCCTCAGGGTAGGTGTTTACTGATATTTTTATTTCATGGGTAGAAGATGGTGACCCAGAAAAGCTGAACAATTTGCCTCACGTTGCAGAGTGGAGTTGGAACTGGGCACAAAGACCTCAAAGCTCATTTTCCTACCAAGGGACTGCACTGCCTCCCAGCGGAACCAGGGGGGGAAACCACCTGAAGCCCTTCCCTCCTGCTGTACTGCTCCTGTTACCACAGGTGACCGCACGCCTGTAAACAGCAGCCCGTCATTCATGTGTCAGGTGGAAAGGCACACTCACAGCACAGTGAGGATACAAAGTGGAAGACAAGGAGAAACGCCTTCCTTGTGGTAAATGACCATATCTATTTCCCCCTCTGTTTTCTAGAAAACGACCTGAAATGGATTTAAGCTGCAATACAGCCAGTTAGAAACAATTCCTCATAGACGACCCGTAGTAAAAACACCCTCAGCTAACATCATATTTAATGGTAAAAGAATGAAAGAAAGGAAAAAGCTGTCTGCTATCAGCACTCTTCTTTACATGGTATTGGAGGAACTAGCCAGGGCAATAAGGCAAGAAAAAGAAATGAAAAGGATAAGCAAAACCATATATATACATTTACATATGTAAATATATATAAATGGTTTCATGTATATATAAAATACATGGCTGTCTATAAAGATAATTGCCAAGGAATATAGAATAAAGATCCTAGACCTTTTAAGTAAAGTCACAAAGTATAAGATTAATATTTTAAAAGTCAATGCTGTGTTTATATTCGAGCAGTGAACAATCAGAAATATGAAATAAAAATCCCACTATAGGGCTTGGACACTATAGGACAGTTCAGTGGTTAAGAGGACTTGCTGCCCTTCCAGGGGATCTGCATTAGGATCTCAGTACCCATAAAGGGAAGCTCACAACGGCATGTGACTCCAGCTCTGGGAGATCCAACACCCTCTTCTGGACTCCCCAGGAAGTGTTTAAATGTGGCATATGCTTATACAGACATGCACACACACATATTTTAGAAAAATATTATGGTAATATTTTTATTACCAGAAACGTAAAGTACTTATAAAATATGTGTAAAATCTATACATAAAACCCAAGAAACATTGCATAGAGAAATTTACAAAGGCTAAGGGAGATGCTATATTGCTGTAATGTCACTTCTCATTCTGATCTGTAGAGTCAACACATGCCTGTCCAAACTCCAGCAGACCTTCAGCTTTGCTAGAAACCCCTGAGATGGCTACAAAAACTATAAGGACAACAGAAGACCTAGAATAGCCAAAGACAATTTTGAGAAAGAAGAAAATGGGCTGGAGAGATGGT